CCTACACGATAAAATGTTAGATAGCATAGTTAATGCATATAGTAGATGTTTGAGTGCCGGTAACACACTATCTGCGTACTTGATTTTAGCCCATTTCATTAGTCACACCTCCCAGTGCCTAGGTTGTCTATCTGTCGTGTCTTCATAATGGAACTGATGATGCTGCCAGTTGGTAATTGCCGTTAATTTGTCCAAGTGTATGCCCCTCCCTGATCTGTGCGGCGATCCTGCGGCCATGGTCGCGGTCTGGCCGGCCGCTCCACCCCGATATGACAGTGAGATAGCACGGCCACATGTTTCGGCTGGCCGTCCGCGGCGACTGCTATCGGGGCCGATCGGCCGGCCGGCCGTCGCAGACGGGAAGACTTTCCGAGGGTCGCCGGGCAGAGGGAAGGGTCCGGCTGCAGCCTTCACCCACTGCCGCTGAGGGGACGCGCTGCCCGCGGGGACCGTCTGCCGCTGAGGGGGCGCGCTGCCCGCCGGCACCGTCTGCCGACCCCTCAGCGGCACTGTTTGTTCCCCGGTGCCCCGCCAGTCCTGCATCATACTCGCCCCTCCACGCATCAGCCAGCCATCGCCGGCCCGCCGCGCACTTTCGCCCTCCGCGGCGGCCGCCGGCGGCAGGGGCAGGCCGGCGGCGCGGGCCAGCTGCCGGCGGTCGATCAGAGGTCCGTGCCCCTGCGGCCGACCCTCGGCGCGCTCCCCTCCCGGCGCCAATGTAGAGCAGCGCGCCGCCAAACTGGGCCGGCCGGCCCCAGTCGCCTCTCACTTGTTTGTTACGCGCCATCGAGCCGAATGAAAGTGTGGAGAGAATCGGACAAATTACGGCGCCGGGCCGGCGGCGGCGCGTCCAAGACGCGCATCTGTTGTGCGTGCACCGCCGATCGGCGGGCCAGCCGGCCACCTCTGAAACAGAGGCCGAAAGTGGCAGTCCGGCGCGGTGCCATTCAGCCAGCATCCGCCGGCCGCGGCGGCATCCATCCTGAGGGTGAGCGATCGCCCAAACAAGTCGTGCGGTCAAGACTGGGTGGCCGGGCGGCTAATTGCCGCCGAAAACAGCCGTCGGGCCGCGATTAGGCCATTTTATGCAGATTGGCCGTCGGTCGGCGCTGTTTGGCGGTGCCGACGGGCCCGAAATCAGCGCGGCCGGCGGTGGCGACGGCCTGGGAACGGGCGCGGCGGCCCTGGGCGGCCGCAGACGCGACCTTAACACAGATCGGGGCCGGCCTGCCCCTTTGTGCGCGCCGCCGGAGATGTGGTGGGCCGCGGGCAGGTGGTCTGGTCCCGCGGAGAGCTGCTCAGAGCCGGCGCTGGGGATGGTCGCCGCACTGGAGCATCACGGATTCCATCGCGCCGGCCGGGATTCCGGTCCGGTCCGGGAGGACGGAGCGGCTCGTCGGACATCGATCACCATCGACGAGCCGCCGGCCGACCAGCGCCATCAATCGCGCCGCCAGCCAGCTCCGCGGCCTTCGCGACCCTTCCGACACCCGACTTTCCCCGCGCAGGCCACGCGGCGGCGGCGGCCGGAACCCGTGGGACAGGGCGGACCGCCGGGTCGCGCTGTGTCCCCGCCAGCTTTCCCCGATCGATCGTGGTCGGTATGTGCGCTCGTCAGCTCGGCAGCCGAGGGTGTCGATCTGCTGACGACCCTGGTGTGAGGGTCGCGATTGGGATGTGCCCGGGCCGCGCGGCAGAGCCCTCGGTGCGGTTCGGGCGCTGGTCTGCGTCTGGAGGGATGCTCCCTCCGATCGTCCCCCACCTAGCGGGACGCTGACACGGGCGCACCAGCGCGGCGCACCAGCTCTGTAAACATGCTCCCCCAGCGCGGCCGGCAAAAAGCGCTGCCGCGCCGGTGGCGCTATATTTAGGAGCGTGTCGCCGCCGATGTCGGTGGCGGAGTTGGACGGCTCGTGTGTCGGTCCTCGGGGCCCCCTGTCTGGCCGCCCGCTGACCCCCGCTGCGCCGGGGACGAGCTGGCTGAGTCAGTCGGCCGCCGGCGCCGGGCATTCCTCGCCAGCTAACGACCGCATGTGGCCGGACCGCGTCCCCAGGGCCTGCCGGGGCCGCAGCGCACCCCGCGACACCGCCGCCGTCACCCCCTGTCGGCCAGCAGCTGATAGAGATTAGCCGGCTCCCTGGGTGATAGCAGTGTGCGTGGGGTCCGGTCGATTCTGCTCCCAGACGGACGGCTAATAGCGTGTGCGGTGTCCGCCGGCCGGTCCCGGGCTCCGCGCCAGGCTGGTGGCGCCGAACCCGGTAGGGAACTGGCTGATGTTGCGCGTCATGCTCCGACCATAAATCTGTGCACTTGTTGGGGGCAGCTGCATGACCCGCCCGGGGCAGCGGGTGCTCTGTGCGGGCAGTGCCCTGCATGGCAATGGCCGCGGCGCTCCGCACGGCGCTCGGGCCTCCTCAGCTGTCTGCTCGGCCGGGACTGACGGCGGCACTGTTGACTCGGGAGCCTCGTGGAGCTGCGGCGCGCGGCGCCGAGTGTGCGCCGGGCCGACCGGAAGGCCGCGTCTCGGCCGCTCGGACAGCGGCAGAGTTATGGGGCGGCCGTCCTTCGGGCCGCGCCGCCGCCGACGGCCGCGTGTCGTCAGCGGCGCTCGCCGCCCGACCTCGGCCGCTGACACGTTTACTGTGTGGCCGCGGACGTCAGGCGGCCCCAGTCTCTGCCCGGCTCTGCTCGGCTCCCTCTCTGCCTGGCTCTGTCGGTCCCCGCCCGGCTCGGCGCGGCTGCAGCCGGCCGGCGGGGGACGATGAACCGCCCGGCGCGCTCCAGCGGGGTACCCCGGCCGGCGGAGGCCGACGGAGGCGGCAGGTCACACCGGCGTTGGTCGCTGTGAGTCGCCAGTCCGGTCTCCGCGGCTGGGAGCGCGTCTGTTACCTGGCCGCCCAGCTGGCGAGCTTCGTCCCACCGCGCCGGGCGGCATTGTGGCGCGCCAATGTGAGGAATTCTGGCGGGAACCGGCCGCCGGCTGGCGCGCCGGCGGTCGGGAATAGAGGCCAGTCACCTGGCGGCTCCCACCGCCTACCGCTGGGAACGGCGGCGGGGGAGGGGCGCGGCGCCCCAAGGCAGCGCCGGAAGCGGCCGGCACCTGGGCCACGGCACGGCGGCTCCAGGTGCCGGCCACTTCCTCAGGAAGCGGCCTCTGCCCCCCCCCCCCCCCGCCGCCCGGGGAGCTGTCGGTCACGGTAGTCGGCCACCCCGCCCCGCGCGGTCACGGCTCCTGTCCGCCGCCCGGCCGCGCCGATCGCCACCGCCCCGGGCGCCGCTCGCCCGATAAATGATGCCTAATTGCGGACCGAGCCGCCGGCCGACGGAAGTTCGCTCGGCCGCCGAGCTCCAAGGCAGCCCGACAGAGGCGGCGCGCGCGGCTTGGATTTCGGCACGGTGCCGGTCATGTGTCGGCATCGGCGGCGTTTTTGCGGCTTTTGCGGCGCGCAGCTGCGCCGACTCTGTGCGCCGGCGCGCTCAAAGGTCAGACAAAAAACCGTGCCCAGATTTTCTCCGGTGGTGGATTTTTGCGGCGCGGGGCCTTGCCACGTCTGGCCGGGCCGGCCGCGGTACTCATTGTCTGATACAACCCTTGATTAAGTCGGCAGCGGGCGCCGGCGCTCGGCCGTCACTGATCTGCCCGCATTCCTGCGTTGCGCAGCGCGCAGCTGCCGGCGCCGCTGACCTCGGCCGACGCACACCCCTGCCCTTGGCGGCGCCACGGCCGGGGACGGCGCGGCAGAGGACCCTCGGCGGGCAGTGGAGCTCGAGAGGACCCCCGGCCGGCGGACACCTCGGTCCGGGGCCGCGCAGTCGGCCGGGCCGCTGTCTCCCGCGCTGTCCACCGATGTCCTTGTGTTTTAATTATTTACCGGCCATGTGGATACGTGAGGGTGATAAAAAGCCGAGGGGCAGCGGCGGCCGCGCGCCGGCAGCGGAGACACGGCGGAAACGCAGACGGCCTCCGCGCCGGGCGGCGGCGCAACGGCCGACGGGCGCGGCGGCGGTCCACAGGTAAAAACGGTCGACGTGAGAACGGCGGGCCGGCCGCCGGCGGCGCCGCCGTCCCGGGCGGCCGGTACCGGCCGGGGTTGTTGGCCCCGGTGACGGTGACAAGGCAGCGCGCCGGTGGGTGGCGACCACCTCAGATCAGCCACTGAATGGGCCGGCCGGGCCCAATTTGAACCGGCCACGCTACTGACTGGTGCGGGCCAGCGCAGCGTGGGAGTGCGCCGCGGGCGCGGCCGGCCGTGTTCCCGGTGTGTCTTCACGCCCCAATTACGCGCTCATCTTGCGCCGGCCCATCTCCGGGCTATGCAGACTATGCATAGTTAACCGGGCCGGGCCAATTAGGCGGCGTGTAATGAGCCGGCCGGCGCTGCCGCTGCGACCGCAGAGCCGACGGGACGCGGCTCTCCGCGCAGCCGCGTCCCGGCCGGACGATGTTCCTGCGGCCGCCGGGCAGGGCCGGTGCCCGTTCTGGATGCACGTTACACCTGGAGGACATATCTGTTGGCCAACGGGTGTGGCGCCGCACCTGTCTGCGGGCGGCGAACCCTTCCTCGTACCGACCGGCTTACGCACCGCCGCGCCCCAGCCGTGCTGCAGCGAAAACACGGCGGTGTGGCCACCGTTACTCCGTACGTGGGGGATGGTTCCGGCCGGTCCGCCGCGGTGGCCGCTGGGCGTGACAGAACGGAAATGCCGCCCTCCTAAATATCACTGCATCTAATGCTACGTTTCCAGCGACACCATTAGGAGGGTAACGACATGCTTACCCCTGAATGTATGTAGTGTTGCCTCGCTATGTTTCTGCGGCTCGTTTCCCGTGTACTAACCCCGTGTCTCCCTGGACACACAAGCGCGGCCAGGCTGCCGCGCGATGTCCCTGAGGTCCGTCCCTGTGTACTAACCCCCGTTTCCCTGTCCGTCAGGCTGCTGCGCGATGTTCCTGAGGTCCGTCTGCCGTGTACTAACCCCTCGTCCCCCTGTCCGTCAGGCTGCTGCGCGATGTCTCTCTGGACGAGTGGAGCGGCACGCCCGAGTCGGCCGGCCGGCCGGCGCCGCTGCGTCGCAACCGGTCGCTGCCGGTGCGCCAGCGGCTGCTCTCGGCGGCCGACTCGCCCGCGCTCGACAAGGAGAACGCGCCGCTCCTGTCGCCGGCCGCCAAGCTGGACGGCTCGTTCGACTTCAGCAGTCCGAAGCGGGCCTCCTACAGCGACAGGTGAGGCGGCGCCGGCGCACGCGGAAGGCCACGGCGGTTGCGGAAGCAGTGAGGCCGAGTCGGTGGCCTAGGCGATGCTAATTCATTAATTGTAATCGCACTGAGTTTGATCATTCTCATGAATTATGATATTTTTGTTTTCTAGTTGCTTGAACTTTTGTTTCATTCAACTTTGTTTCGTCATTGATTTTGTCATAACATTTCTATTTGCTGGTTGTTTTTTGGTGTTGTTGAGCTGTCTGACCGCCCCTCCCCTGGCCAGGTCGGCGCGTGCTCCGGACGGCGGCTGCTCGCGGCGGCTGCCGCTGGGCCAGCTGCAGCGCGCCGCGCCACACAAGGCCGAGCTGGCAGAGACGGCCGACCCTTGCTCGCAGGACAGCGGCTATGACGCGTCCGAGAGGGACGACTTCCGGTTCGCCGCGCCCACGGCGCGCCCGCCGCGTCGTGTCCGCTCGTCGGCGTCGTCTGGCTCGTCGGGCAGCAGCCCGGCGCGCCTGCACCGCTCCGACTCGGACGGATTCATGGACGCCATCGCGCTGGACACGATGGACGAGAGCGCCATGCCGGCCGGCCTGCAGGAGCTCCTCTCGGCGCCCATCCTCCACAGTCCCGCCAGCGAGCCGGCCGCCGCCGCCGCCGGCCAGCCCGCGCACCGGCGGCCGCCCATCCGGCGCTTCCTCTCCATGGTCGAGCACCCGACCACAGACGCCGCCAGGGCGCACGCGGTGAGTGCCGGCGGCCGTCCGCCGGGGCTGACTTGATGTTTGCTATCGTCCGCTCAGTGAAGTCTGCTCTGACATGCCCCCGTTAATGATGTAGCTGATGCTGCCCGCACTGACCGCTCGGCTCCGTGTCTCCCCCAGACCCTGACGGACCGGATGCCGGTGCCGGTGCCCGGCCGGGTGGGCCAGTTCAAGCGGCCCGAGCCGCCCGCCCACGAGCCGTGCTCGCCCACCCGTAAGCGGCTCTGCTCGCTGGCCGAGGCATCTCCGTCTCCGTCTCCGTCCCCGCCGCGCGCCTTCGAGCTGCAGCGGTCGGAGAGCCACCGGCTGACACCGGTCAGCGAGCGCGTGCGGCCACTGCAGCGGTGCTTCTCCGAGTCGGAGGCCACCATCAAACGGGCCGTCCAGCGATGTGAGTGTGTGAGAGACGGACAGACGGGGGCGGCGGGAGGGGCACGGGGCGGCGGGAGGCGGACTGGAGGCTGCGGGAAGCGACTGGGGTGCCGGGATGTATAGAATGAAATAAGTGCTTTATGTTCAAATGTAACTGAAGTTTGGTTTTCAAAATCACTCAGTATTGATTTATCTGTGTTCATTGAAGTGTTGTATTTCGTACCTACGATGCATACAGTGCCCTGGTTACTGCCCCGTTGAGCGCACACCTGACCGGCGGCTGGCGCTGTGTTTCAGCGTGCCAGGACCCGGACCTGATCGGCGACAGCACGCGTCCCTACGTGCTGCCGCTGGTGCACACCTCGCGCAACAACGACCTGAAGGCCATCAGCGGCGAGACGCTGGCGCGCCTCATGGACGGCCACTTTGACCACGTGGTCGAGTCGTTCGAGATTGTCGACTGCAGGTAGGCGGCGGCTCGGCAGAGCCGGGTGGGCGGGCGACTCCTGGTATTTCAATTGTTTTAAAAGTGACCAGTGGTCGGTTCCTATGCAGATATCTGAGAGTGGGACCAAATATGTAGTTTTTTGTTGTTGTTGTAACAGCTGATTGTTAGATGGCTTTTCTCTACCAGTTCTCTCGGAGTTACCCGCCTCCGGTCGGCCTGTTCCCTCCTGTGACGCTCTCCGCCCGTCCCGCCAGGTACCCGTACGAGTTTGATGGCGGCCACATCCGCGGCGCCGTCAACCTGTACACCAAGGACGGCATCCACGAGCGTCTGCTGGCCAACCGGCGCGCGCTGCCGCCACCCTCTGAGGCTGACCAGGTCGCCGACAAGAAGCGCCACATCGTGGTGTTCCACTGCGAGTTCTCGTCGGAGCGCGGGCCGAGCATGTACCGCTTCCTGCGAGAGCAGGACCGCAAGCTGAACAAGGCCACCTACCCGGCCCTGCTCTACCCGGAGATCTACCTGCTCGAGGGCGGCTACAAAAAGTTCTTCGAGCGGCACTTGGAACAGTGCGAGCCGCGCACGTACAAACCAATGAACAAGGAGGGGCACGAGAGTGACCTGAAGCACTTCCGCGCCAAATCCAAGTCGTGGGCGGGCGACTGCCGGGCGCGCGGCGTCTCCAAGCGCATATTCTCGTGATGGGAGTGCGGCTAGAGACTAGTAGCGGCCCGCGCGCCGTGTGCCGCCGTGCAATAGAGGCGCCGGCCGCCGCCGCCCCGTGCTTGACGTGTGTGATATCAGCTGTTACCAAAGTGGCGCGCCGCCGGCCCGTGTCGCGAGATCAGCAGGGACCACAAATCTATAGACGGCTCCGGCCCGACACACCACGCTCACTGTCAGAGGCATTGTAGTAGCGCGCCGCGACATGCTTAGTTAGGCCTATGATCTGATTGATTGACTGGCGACTGGTTGATGGGTGCTGAGCGCCGCTGTCGGCACGGCGACTGTTTTATGTATGCGACTGAGAGGGACCGGGCGGCCCGCCCAGAGCGCCGTGCCGGCCGGCGGCCCGCCCGCAGCGTCCGGACAGACAGGGCATTCAGGGCGCAGTGTGTGCGCCGGCCGCGTGCGGTCTGGGCGCCGGGTGTGAGGACGACAGACAGATCTCTGAGCACTGCCCGCCGCCCGCGGCGGACCAGTGGAAATTCAGGCGCCCTGAGCGCGTCCGTGTTTGATTCTGTTACGCGGCTCCGTCGCTGGCGGACCGAGCGCCGTTATAGGAATAAATTCGCGTACCTCACACACACAGACAGAACGGCGTTTGGATGTCAGCAGAGAACCGAGTCGTGGCTCAGGAGTGTCAGCATTGTTCCGTTTACAGTAACTTGGCAATGACAGGTAGGATCGCTGTGAGACGGGACATATCCCTACCGGGCGATGCCTCTCCACCTGCTCACGTACAGGGACCGCATCGACATCTCAAGAACTGCCGGATCGAGTGCACTGAACTTCGGTGCACCGTTGGGGGGGGGGGGGGGGGCGGGGGGGGAGGCGGTTAGGTGGGTGAGTCACGGAAGTCGGTGGGAGTTGCAGTTTCCACACAGTGCGCACGTGCAGGCCCGGTATTGTGCTCGTTCCTTGGTTTCTGCCAATCAAACCCTCGAAATATATGGCAGTCATGACCTGAAGACTGAAGAGTTCCCCTCTATGTGCTGGGTAAACGAAGCTACCTTGGCTATTTTAAAATTGGGATTCCTCTACATTTCACGTACGTCCGTGTTTTTACACAAACTGCATATTATTTAGACTGGCTGGCCGAGGCTGAGGCGATGATATGGCTGAATGCCAATTTCGTCACCAGGGCCGCGATGATACACTCGAAATACAAGATAAAGAGTCTCCGTAACTTCTGGCGTAGCAATACATAGGTAGGCGCCCAGAGCTATGGAGAAGCAGAAATGCTTCACCGCAGCGTCTCCAGTCCAAATAACCGCAGTCGACCGCAGTGGTGCCACCTATCGGCAGAGCGGCGAACTCATACCACACCCAGCGGCCAGTTCGTCGCCCGGGGCCGGGCCCCACTCTGCCATCAACACAGGTACGAAAACCAGGCTCAACGGCTTTCATAATTCCGACTCACTTTGTCATCGCTTCACGCTTCAGCCAGGGGCCATACATATCGTCGCTCGAGGGCACGGGAGGCGTGTAAAGAAGACGTAAATCAGTAGATGTCGGTTGTCACCTGCAATTTATTATCTTGTCCAACGATAACAACACGGGCTGGGTCTATACGCTGTGGTAGGTGTAAATCGGCTACATCGGCATCCATATCCAGCCAGCCAACAGAGTACATCAAAGGATGGGGTCTTCACGCTAAGCCGAGGCAATAAAAACATCCTCAATTTAGCAGCAACATCCAATTCAGCTACACATCTGAAACTTCACCGCTTCCGCAAATAACGCGAACACTGAAACGTGACTGCACACTTATCACGGCGACTGTCGGCAATAATTTAGAGTCCGCTGCCGTCGGCGCCGCCAGACGCCCAGTGGACAGCACCTCTGGCGGGGCGGGCGCCACACACGGGGCGGGAGGGCCGTGCCGTCCACAGCAGTGACTAGAGCGCGCGGGCCGGCCGCTCACTTGGCCTTGCCCTGGTTGGCCACCGACTCCATGGCCTTTTTGACCGTCTCCGGGTCGCCGAGGAACTGCATCTTCCTGATGGGGCGCATGTGCTCGTCCAGCTCGTAAACGAACGGAATACCTGCCGGACGGCGGGGCGGGGCTCAGAGGGGGCTCACCAGGCGGACACATGGGCGCTCACGGCGCAGACGAACACACTGAGCGGAGCGACAGTGACAATTCATGTTTTTCCCCAGGGGCGGACCCCCAGGGTTCCTCCTTTTAACATGCTCGTTCCTAATAAACACGTGACAGCTGATGCCATTCTTGTACAATCCATCTATCCATATTTATCCTTTTTTTGCAGGTACTATTCAAATATACACACGAATTAAAACGTGCTATCCATCTATCATTTCTGTTCTATACATAATCAGACGAATAAAAACGCGTTCTCGGAATATTGCCTAAAACATACAAAGAACAGAGAAAAGATGGTCAGTTAGGCGCCGTTCTAAGTCACAGCTAGTCGGCCCAGTCTCGGCCGGCCGGCCGGGCGGCGGCAGCCCGCGGAGCCCGCTCACCCGTGGGCAGGTTGAGACCCATGATGGCCTCGTCGGACATTTGTTCGAGGTGTTTGACGATGCCGCGCAGGCTGTTGCCGTGGGCGGCGATCAGGATGCTCTTGCCCTGGCGGATCTGCGACATGGGCCAGGGGAGCACGTCAGTGACGGAGGACGGCGCGCACGGACGGCCCACAGAGACACCTGGCGGCCGCGCTGGTAACACAGTCCCGGGACACTAGCTACACGGCAGACGAACGGACCACACTAAACAAATTATCACGATTGAAAGGCACACTCCTCCCTCCCATTGACTGCACATCAGCTGAGCTCCGGTGATTGCCCACGCTCCCTGAAACCATCCCCGAATATCCGCGGCGGCAGTGACCGGTCACCGGCCGCCCAGCGCCGAGCCGAGCCGGCCCGTCGGCCCGCAGCGCCACCAGCCACCCACCTGAGGCACGATCGTGTCGTTCCAGTACGGCAGCGTCCGCTCAATCGTCCTGAAAAGGCACAGCCACGCCGCATTATCATCCTCGTCTACAGATGGGGATTCGAACGCAACAATGTGCACATCGAGAACCAGTGAAAAGACGATAACATTTGTAGCATTTTTATACTACTCTTCGAAAGTGGAACATTTTATAATTTCCCATATTTTACACTTTGCATTGCATAAGAACTCGACGCTGTCACGGAATTAAGCAATTAAATCAATCGCAAAAATAAAAACACGTCAGTCATCTCGCCTTTGGCTCGACGAGTAACGTACTATTTTCTAATTGTGCTTGTAACGGGTGGTCAGCACGAATCTGAGAAAAAAAAATAGATTGAGCATAATATCGCCAATAATGGACAGATTTTAATGATTTTTGGCAGGTGAATATTTTCAGTTGTTTTATATTAGTAGATCAGCCTTCAACTTTCAACCAGCAACTAGTGGAAAACATTGCGCCGTCAAGTCCGCAAGCGTTCCGGGACATTTAGGATAAATGATAACAATAACAAGTCAAATGTATATTGTTCGCAGATTTTTTTTTTAAATAAATAACTAAAAAGGCAAAAAATGCTCTGGGTTCTGAGGTCAAAAATGCTCATCGATAAGTTCTGAGGACTTGCAGATGTTTCACATGGTGGGAACAACCATCAAGATCACCAAGAAAATGCCCAACCAGCTCCAGAAGAATCAAAGCAGCACTGCCACCGAAAAGCTGGGGTTCTCCCAGCGAATTCTGGCCAGAAATTTTGGGATCTTCAAAACACATTTCCAATTAATACCCGAAGAAGCAGGAACCAAGCACAGACATAGGATAAATGCTCCCCATGCAAATGGAGGCACAAGTTCGTGCGCAGAAAACCCGCCTGCGCCGTCTGCCACAGGGTCCAAAGAAGGGCAGCTAAAGCATAAAGGTAATTATAGATAATGAAGCTTACTTCACCTAGAGCGGCAGCCAGATGCCTTCCTACGCCGAGTTCTACACCTCAGCTGGTGGAGACACTCTTCCACATGTGGGCTGGGTCTCACCTTCGACTTGAGAGCAAGTACCCACCCACCAGGCCCGTTTGGCTTGCCCATGGGTCCGAGAGGGATCAAGTGTCCAGTTACTTGCCTAGCACAGGCAATGTAACGGGTGAAGTGTACTATGATAAGTGTCTGAATGACGTGTTGTTACCATTCATCGAGTCTCAATACACAGAACTATGGTTCCTTTTTGGTGCGACCTTGCAACCTTCACAGCACGCGCTTTAGACCACGAACTTCTTGAGGAGGCTGAGTTGCCCTTAGTAGCACGTGACATGAACCCGCCATGTACGGCTCTCGCGAGATTAACCCGCGCCCTGCTGGGGGGGGGGGGGGTGTTTGAACACCCCCCTTGTGGTTTTTCGCGAATATCTCAAAAACGGCGGCGCGCAGCGCCGCCGTTTTTTGGTACACCTTATCATACATCAATTCTACACACGTTGTGAAAATTTCAGACCAAGGTCATTCAAGGTCAGGTCACCAGGTCACTTGAAGTGACCTCACCTCATAAAAAGTTTCAATGTCTGTCATAGCTACACCGAGTGACCGATCGCTTTGAAACTTTCAGCGATTGCTAAGAGCAATAGCATGTACAAAATGTATATCTCAGAATTTTGATATCGATGACCTAAGGTCAGGTCAATTTTGCGACCTCCCCATTATAAGTCAATGGGAGAAAATTGAAATGCGCCTCTTTTGGACGAAAGACATTATAAACACTCCCAAACACCGAATTACAAGTGGTTTAGACACACTGAACATTAAAATGGTGTCCGTGACCCTTGTTTGTGCCCTGAGGTCATCTTAGGTCACGAATGGTATCTAACAGTTTTTCGCAAATAACTTTTGATAGAGGCATGCTAGAGCAATGAAAACGCCTTATATGTGTTCAGCTCGACGATACGGATCGACTGATATGCAACATGACCCTTTCCGGTCAGGTCATGACCTTGACCTGAGGTCAAATTTTCAAGTTGACCTTTCAAGGTCAAGTTATAGTTCATTCGATGCGTCTTGACGAGAGGAACACGATGCCGGTAAAAGTAAGCTCGTACAAGGCTTGGGTCAAAAGTTATTGCAGAAAAACTGTTTCCGAAAAAATCGGCTATTTTTGCAGTTTTTGCCCCCTGCAGGCAAAACCGTTGACGTTAGGTCAAATCTGTGAGAATTACTCAGAAAGGGCGTTAATAGGGCTATCGAATGCACTTTTCCGCGGCGCTGTAGCTCTATTGGTTCCCGAGTTATGCGTTAGCTTCTTGGAAATTTTCGACATTCGACCTGGAAATCGGCGAAATTTTGCCTTCAATGACCTCTGGTGACCTGACCTTTGACCTGACCAAAAAATTGACCGAAGTGATTTCGTCATTATTTTTGACGCTCTTTCGAACGCCGCCTTCCGCGTATCGCTACGTGGCCCAGGAGCCGAGTTACAAGGGGGGGGGGGTGTTCAAACACCCCCCCCCCCCCCAGCAGGGCGTGGAAATCCAGGACCCCCAGCGGGGCGCGGGTTAAGCGGTAGGTTTTGCACTTTTACATTTCCGGTTATATCTAAGAAACTAACCGATCTACGATGAAGCCATTTTACACGATCATGGCCGGCTTGTTACCCAACAAGTCGATCGCATCTTCAACACTTAAAAGCTTAAGACGACGAAGATATAGCCTGAAGTACACTAAATTTTTCTAGGTGCAAAACCTACCGCTAAAACCCGCGAGACCTGTACCTTCAGCTTGGGCCCACTGAGGATATGTGGGGGCATAGACCTCTGTATACCAGTAAAACGCCTTTTGGGCGAAGAACGAGCGAGCGAGATAGTGAGCCCTGCACGTGCGGAAGGGCGGGAGGGTACTTCCAACGGGCTTGTGCAAAGCACCCTTCTAACCGGTCGCTAGCGGTGTGCCAAATTTGAACGCAATCGGCCCAGCCGTTCCTGAGATCTGGAAGCGGCATTCTGCACGTGCGCGCGTGCAAACGGGGTCCAAACTGACTTTTGCACGGCACCCTACTAACCGGTCCCCAACCGTGTACCAAATTTGAGCGCAATCGGCCCAGCCGTTCATTTACAGGTATACAGATATACAGAGGTCTATGGTGGGGGCTTATCAAACAGAACGTTTATAGGGGAGGGTGCCAGGTCAGCTGAGACGCACATTTGAAGCAGAGAATCCATGCGTCACATCGACCCGGAGGTGCCGCGAAAGACAATAGCGGGGTTGCCAGCGCGTGTGTCTGGCGGCTTACAGAGGTCCAGTGTCACAGATCCACTAGGCCGAGGGTGCTCAGAACTAGGCACGATAACGCAATTTCGTTGCTTTCGCTAGATACATTTAGCGTACTAGCTGTTCAAACTTTATCCAGTTTCATACCGACCACCCGTTAGTTTAATTACTGTAGTACATCAGCCCCCTGCCCACTAGCAATGGCCCCAACTCACAGTTTGAGCGACTCGAACATGGGGAACTCGCTCTTGCTGGGCCCGTCCTTGTAGCGCGGGTCCTCCAGGATCACCTTGTAGTAGGGGTTGTCGGGCGTGATGGGCGGCGGTGGGATGTCGAAGCTGCGCCGCCAGATTTTCACCTGGCCGGCACAGACACACGTCCGCCCGTCAGACTCCACAGTAGGTACAGGACCACGGGGACTTGGCCGCCCGTCAGGCCCCACAGTAGGTACAGGACCACGGGGACTTGGCCGCCCGTCAGGCCCCACAGTAGGTGCAGGACCACGGGGACATGGCCGCCCGTCAGACCCCACAGTAGGTGCAGGCCGCCCGTCAGGCCCCACAGTAGGTACAGGACCACGGGGACTTGGCCGATCGCAAGTGACAGACGTTTGGCCGGAAAATGCGCCTCCCAAACTCTTTCTATATGACACTGATTGTCGCGGAGGCTGAATGCAGTATGAAGAGTCCCTCCTCTCCGACAATCCCGCTACAGCCACAGAATGGTGATAAATGATGTTAGCACATTTCCACTGCAGCAGCTATCAGGAGCCATTGTACAATGGCATGGTACCTCTCCCCCAGTCATACGTGGCTCTGATCTGCCAAGATCCTGTGCCTCGACCCTCACCAATCTGCCCCTTTTGCAATCAACCCTCAGTGTAGGCATCAATTGCATCAAAGGCTCTCTATCAAAGAAAAGCTAGGTACCTTATCAGCAAGATATGTAAGCAATCCCTTAGCTGCCATTGAAATGCAGCACTTTTTAAAACTCCCTGTGTGAAAGGATCTGTAAGTATACCTTGATATCTCTGGGTCTTAAAACAAATCAACATTTGTAATTATTTTATCATCTTATCTATCTTGTGGCTAAGTGGCCCATGGTCCCAGTAAAAGGATACTAAAAGCTTTAAGATTATTTTCATGATCAACTTCACATTCCTAGCATAGGCGGCGGAACGGGGAGGGCACCGGGGCACCGTGCCCCCCTTTTGATTTTGGCATTTTAACATTAGCCCTATGGGCGTTGCATGGAAAGAATGGGACCAAAAGTTGGCAGTGCCCCCCTTAATTGAAGGTGTTCCACTGCTACTGATTCCTAGAACCTGCAGGTTTAGGTGTGCCACATTTTGGACACTTCAGCTTGGGCATCATCACCCCCTCCATTTACCTGTTCCTCGCCGTGCTTGGCAGCCGTCTCTGCCTTGTTAAGACCGGTCAGCCCGCCGTAGTGGCGCTCATTGAGGCGCCATGTCTTCTTGATGGGGATATCCTTCTGGCCCAGGATCTCAAGAATGGTATCCAGCGTCTTGTTGGCACGGGTCAGGACAGATGTGTGTGCGATGTCAAATTTCATCTGTGCCTTTTTGAGTGCCTCTCCTGCTGACTTGGCCTCCTCGATGCCTGACAAAAATGAGGGACGCAGCAACAAAAGGCTCAATGTGCGGCCTTCAAATAATCAGTTTAATCAAATAATCAGTTTAAATTACTGATAAGTGATAACTGTAGGCACCTAATATGTCTTGGAAATAAAAGAAAAAACATAATCAAACCTGACCTAACCTTACCTATTTACCTACAACTTACCAACCTACAACCTAACCTAGCCTAACCTAACCTAGTCCATCAAGCCAGACAAAGGTTCTTCTCACAGAGGGTGGCTAATGACTGGAACAAGCTACCAGATGATGTTGTGTCTGCTGACACCACTGCTACATTTAAAGCTAAGCTAGATAAGCACCTCCAGCTCAAAGCCAACTGTGACCTGTGACCTCCAACCTCAATGAGTACCCTGACATGTTTCCTTGCCAACAATGACATGGACAACAAATAGCATACTGCTACCCCAAGTCCATTATCTATATACCTATACCTATACCTAACCTACAAACCTACCAATCTAAAACCTAAAACCTACAAACCTACAACCTAACCTAACCTAAAACCTAAATTTTTTGCTGTTACATATTTGTATCAACAGCGTCACAATTGTCCACTCGGACCTAATATATACTAATACCGGCACCTAATTTGAATTGATAACTCACTACCACACATTAACATGTGTTCCCATGAAACTTGGCACTGCCTGGGTCATAGGCGGCGGAACGGGGAGGGCACCAGGGCACTGTGCCCCCCTCTGATTTTGGCATTTTAACATTAGCCCTATGGGCGTTGCATGGAAAGAATGGGACCAAAAGTCGGCAGTGCCCCCCTTTAATTGAAGGTCAGTAGGTGGAACTATGGTCATGAGTACCCAAATATAGGAACGTTCCCATTTTTGGGAACGGAGTTCCCAAATATGGGAACGGGCGTTCCCATTTATGGGAACGGAAGGTAATTTTTCGGCCGTTCGCCCACTAAAACTCATTAGTGCATCACGTTTCAAAAAAGTGCACGCTAATTTAAGTATCTACTAAGTCTCTATAAAATTATCTTTAATCTGACCGTTGCACAAGGAAATTGACCGTCGAATGATATTTTTAATGATTTTTTGAAGTGACGGAATGGTGAAAATATGGGTTATACTACATTTAACTTGCAATTTTAAGGAAAATGAAGCGTTTTTTACATTTTGAGGTCAAGTATAATAATTTTCGCCTGGTTATGAAGTTTCATACTAGCGACACCAGATGCTGACATATGCAAGCGAACACGCGGACAGTCCGGGGGTAATATTGGTGACATTTGGTGTCGGGGCGCACGACCGCATGGAACGTCAGTGATTTTACCGAACTACTGTTGTAAACTCAGTTTCAGTGGTTTAAAATTATTCAGCTGTATTTTATCATCCCAGAAAGAAATATTTTATTTGGATGCTAGCTGTTTAGAGTTGTTTTATAAGGAGCGTCATGAGCGTGGTTTTTGTCTTCCGTGTTTCTAAGCGTGATCGTTTTGAGGGAATTTCTCTTATATAGGTCGCTCTGTGTGGCTTATTTATAATTTTTATGCTGATTTCGATCATTCCTCGTGCCCATCCTATCAGGCCTTTTGCCACTTACACTCATCAAGAAAGGAAAAAACTAGATTTTCATTGGGACTAGGTGTTTTGAGGGTGGAACATATTCAGCGTTCCCATTTTTGGATACTTCCTTGTGCTCAACTATCGGTGATAAACAGACAGGTGCCTGACATGTCTCCACCCTCGGCGCGGACGGTTGAACATCGCTGAGCGTTGTGAATTACGTAATCCTGCAGAGGGGGGCGTGCCCGCTGCGAGATCGACGGGAATAAAAGCGCAGAAGACCGGGCGAAACATGCGACGGTCTTGCCGGAACAGTCGGGCACACTGTGGTATTTCCGATCCATTTATGGAAACGTTTCCATTTTTGGAACAATGTTCCAAAAATGGATACGCCGTTTCCAAAAATAGAAACGATCTGTTCCATAAATGGAGACGCTGTGTGCATCGCTACCTTTAAAGCAAACTGGGCATTGATTGGTGCAATTTGGCATGCGCAGGATGCCACCAATCGACAGCCAGCATTCTAGTTTATGTTCCTGTTCTCCGACTTTCCGATCAGAAAACCGAAAGTTGATGAACGAGGCGATGCTTATAACATGTTGACGTGATAAAAAATTCACACGTTTTTCTAATCGAAAATAATAACATTTATTAATGTTTTGAACAAAAAATAACGTTTTAAACAGACTACTGAAAGACTGACCCATTGATTGGAACAACCACATCACCGGGAACTTCAGTTTTTCATTCATTTTCACGCTGCGTTTTCCGGTGTACCAGCGGCCTGGTGGTCGTCAATCTTTGATTAAATCGCATGAAAGTTGTTGCAAAGCCCTATTTGGAGACTTAAGTAGGCATTTTATGATATTTCAAATGTGCTGAATATGATCGTAGGCTCGGATCAACGTAAATCTCCGTGCAAATACGTTAAAAGCAGGATGGAAATAAGGTCTGCACCGTCGTCACACCATATACCGTTGTATTCTGACGATGAATTTATTCATTCTAGCTCATGTGTAACATTGATATTAATTTTATATATTGAAATGATATCTACGCTTTATGTATTGCCCACTTTGGACCACATCTGTCCAGTAGTTTCTGGGAAAGCTTAGTTTTAGTTGACTTTTGAATGTGCTCAAGTTGCGGCGCGTAAGGTATTATTATCGAACCCGACGTCCACGTTAACTGCCGAGAGCCGAGATGCTAAACCAGTCCCAAAACATCAAATTTTTAGTTGCATGTGAATTTTAAAAACACATTTAAGCTAAGTTTGCACACATTTGAACTTCAGCGTTTCTATTTTTGGAACATCAGCGTTTCCATTTTTGGAAACTAAGTCTCCATAAATGGATACGATTCAGGAGCATTTTAAAGGCGTGAATTTTAATGCATATGACAGCTTTCCATGCAAGAAGACAAGTGCTTTTGGTGAATCTGAGCTTGTTTTACGCGAAACAGTTGTTATACATCGAATCCAGCCACCCTTGGCAAGAAAATATGTGCGGAGATGTTAGCGTTTCTATTTATGGAACGAGCGTTTCCATTTTTGGAACAGAAGAGTAGTCAAAATTGGAAACGTTTCCAATAATAGAAACGTCTCCATAAATGAATCGGAGATACCGCAGTGCGCCCGACTGGGAAAGGTCATCTGATGATTGTTGCGTTAACAATAATTTGTGGCGTTGGACGTGATGCTTGTTAATGAAAAGAGCCCCTGAAAGGCATCGGTGAAAGCGTTCCCAATTTTGGGTACGCCGTTCCCATAATAAGGAACGCTTGCAGCGCCAGTGTACGAGAGCGTTCCCAAATTTGGGCTCGCGGCCCGGATGATGGACTGCTTTAGAAATAGGGGAACGATTTGAAACTACGATGGCCCTTACAATATCAAACTCTTTCCCAACAATATTGAGACAAATATCAGGCGGTTCACGATCGTTTTATATTTTTTGGACGTCATTTAACGGTTCTTTTTCTTGTTTTAAATAATGCCTACATGGCGTTCCCATATTTGGGTTTATCGTTCCCAAACATGGGAACGAAAATGCGTTCCCGAAAATGGGTACGCTTGACCAAGTTCCGCCTACTGAGGTGTTCCGCCGCTGCTGGCCTGGGTTAGAGACAGAGTTTGCATCAAAGATGATTGTAAGTCATATGATGGAAATCATGGAATTACGTATCATCAGTATAGCAAGTGTCTTACCTTTCGGGCTAAGGTTGGCATCATACCATCCACAGAATTTGTTTTCTTGATTCCACTCACTCTCTCCGTGACGAATCATTACAATTTTATGTGTTTTGCCCATATTTACCTCTGTCTTACTCTTATCTCTAGCTAAATAGGAAAATGAGCGAGTGTCAACCAAAACACCGCAAACCGGAGACCGCAATGCTTTTGAATATCCGGTAGAAAATCGCATCCAACGACCGCAACGACCGAAACCTCGCGCGACGACCTTCAGCTGATCCCTCAAGGGCGAAGATACCCAGAGCATCTGCATTAAAACACTGCATAAATAAGCAAAAGGATTTTTTTGGGTGCTAAGTTACTGCTAAGAGCTTTAAAAAAAAGAAAGACAGACACGGTCTTCAGAATAATCTAAAGCATGTCAAAATACTATATAATAAAATATTGATTTGTTCACTAATAACTGTTCACTTTATGAAACATTAGCTAGCTATAAGAAGGCGTGATTCATTTCAACTCAAGATTCTAACACATTCAAATTCAGCTGGTGTCGTTTTCATGGACTTAGATGATTCAATCTTTCGGAAATATCTTTTTTTTCAATTGGCACAAGAACTGTTGGGTGGGCCTGAGAGGAAAATGGGTCTTCGCTGTAGTACGGCCTTGGCTGTAGTATGGTTCTAATCGACGCGCGTTCTAGCCAAACACGTCACTACTCACTAACTGTACCTATCCCATAAAAATCCGCGATATAGCATGTGGATTGTGGACGGACGCTCCAAACAATGCTGATAGTCTGGGTGGTGCAAAATAAACTGCATTCCGATCATAGATCCGATGAGCTCAAATGAACCCCTTTTGCCCGGTTGTGCCCGGTGCGCCCGGTGGGCCTCCGTATGGTGCTGCAGCCTGGTGTTCATAGTTTGAAGCATTAGTACTTATTTGGTGGGTTATCCCGTTGCATTCTTTGAAAGAAATCGAGGAGTATTACTCTTCAAAGATAAAAAAATAAATTATTCATAATTTTTGAAGAGGTATGGCAGATTTATCCGACGAAATCATAATCCAACAAAATTTCCCTTCACACAAATCCTATGTGGCGGCCATGATTGCAGTGCGCTGCATTTGCCTCATTTTCGTTCCAGTTGATGACAGTTTTCCATGACCTTCAGGCGTTGCGGGAATTGGTGCTGTGTTGTTGTTTCTTTGACAGTTATTTAAAATTGTATTAGGATCAAGGCTAAAGAGAACAACGGTGAATCGGATTTGTGTATATTGCGAAATTCAGTGATAACCGTCGATGTTTGCGAACGAATTGCTGCAGTGACAGGGGTCGATACAGATTGAGGCGTTTCAATGCGGCACTCCTGGGATGATTGCTGGTAGGTAAGTACATAATCGCTGCATTTCAGTTTGAGGGTCGATGGCTCACTCGAGAGACATAGAATTGTGAATTGTCATTTTATTAACTTTCAAACTTTGATGTCTTATTGTGATGGTAGGGCCAGGGGTATACTAGACTGCAATTCATGGTTGCTGTTCGAGGTAGGTGCCCTCAGGGCTCGCAGCAATGAGCGTCACTGAATTACTGAAAAAGTTAAATAATAGCCTACATTGTCATCTAATTTTCAAGCTACAACAATTAGAAATATTACAATTAAGAAGTGTGACAATTTGTGTTGTGATCTAATAAGTGCCCTCCTCAGGCCAGTCTGCAAAGTATGGCAATTTCAACGAGATCTCATCTGTGCTGGCTTGTTTGGCTGGTTCAGATTTGGTGCAGTGCGGATTTTGGCTTGGTGCGGTAGGGATGTGTAGTGCAGTGCGGAATTGGCTTAGCAATGGATATGACAGACCAGACGACACGATATAGATGAGGTAAATCAAAGAAAACATTTTTGGAGCTTGGACCAGTGTGCCCTTGCCTTTAATTGAGTGTGCGGTGGTCAGAATGGACTATTCTAGTGCCGGTAGTCTCATAATCACGCCCCCAAGTTTGCACTGTTACAACACAAAACCCATCACTCAGCTTTGCGAGGCGGTAGAGTGAGAGAGATGAGCACGGTCATTGAGAGGGATTCAAGATATGCACGGCCGGTGGCTAAGCTAGATCATCGCTTCAAGTAGTCAATTGCGAATGATTTGTTGTGTATGTTGGACACAGGTAATCAGTTCATCAAAAGAATATGAGGTTGTTGCATTCTGCAGCATTCGTAAATGAGATGCACATCACATAGCTAATGGCAGGCCTAGGGGACTACTTTGCCGCGGCCAAATAGTCAAATCTGCTGTGAATGACTGGCCGATCAGATTTGATTTGTTGTACAGTCTGTCTTAAACGTAAGTGACGATGGATCCCTCAAGCCTGACCGAGGAAGGGCCTGCTAAATTTGGGTCACTGAAGCATTTGGCATCCTCGCCCATTCCCCAGGTCAATTGGTTCGGTGACTTTCAAACTATAGTAGGCCCTTCCTCGGTCAGGCTTGATGGATCCACCGTCACTTTGTGCGGTACTTTTAAGACAGACTGTACGAACTACGATACAGCTGTTGACCCAACGAAAGACGCCGAAAATGCAAGCATGGGATGATTCCACATTTAGTTGTTCATAGTCATCTTTATTTGTATAACTGGGTATGTGTTGCCAAGCCGTTTAGCTAAATGGCGGTGTCGACACCATTGGGGCAACCATAGAACATCGAACAATAATCATTTATCACCCTGACCCTGGAAGAATCGCCAGGGTATACCTACAAGAGCACGTACTGGATATAGCTCTTGTATTGGGGTGACATGCTTTTTGTTTGAGTTGTGTGGTGCGTATTTCTCGTTTCGTTTCCATACTACTGAGAGAGCAGGTTTGCGGCTCATTTATCTAATTGAGGTCAGTGTGGATGTAAACTGGTTATTTTTTTTTGTTCGGTGTGTTTTTTTTTTGTACTCTCATTCGGCTTTGGTGCGGATTTTCCGGCTCTTTCTAAAGGGTTGGTGTGGATTTTGAACTTGGGCCAGTGCGCCTCGTCGACCTACAAGCCATGCTTTGCAGTATGGCCCTCAGGCCACCTCCCCCGAATTGGCACCCAAATGATGATGAAGTTGACAAGCGGTCTTGCTCCAGTTTGAGTTGGTCCCCCCAGCCCCAACAGAAATATCATGCGACCACATGATCGGGACACGAGAGTCGCGAACACTGCCCCTCGTGCCAGATGCAGATGTTAGAACGAATGCTCCGGTGAGCTGAAGGAAGGCCTAGCATGGCTGCGAGGACGGTGCTCCGGTCACGGCAGTAGCGCAATGGAAGCTGGCTAGCACAGTAGTCCAATCCCGTCTACTGCACGCTGTACATGTAGATGGGTATCTCGGCGCGCCGCCGCCTCGCGTGCAGGCGTTCTAGCCGTTCGTACACACGTGTGCTGCCACCGTCGGGTGCCGACGCGGTCCGGGTGGGCGAACTGCCTGCTCGCCCAGATATCACAGAGGCCGGGTCGGTGCGTGCGTGGTCCGCCGCGGTGTCCGGACTAGTGGTGTCAATCGGAACTTGAATCTTCGGAATTCCGATTTTGTCCAATGTCCAAATCGGAATTCGGTTGGACAATGGCAGCAGGCTTTGGACAACTTTGGACGATCGTTTGCTACACCTCAACATTTTTAAAAGTAGTCGTGTTTAACATTGATTGGCTATTAGAAACCTCAGCTTTCGATATGATTAACACTTTTGAGCTTGTAACGGTACATGAAAAGCAATATAAATAACAGTGTTGAGTGTAAACTATTGCGTAGGTGTCGGACACCTTTGGACAAATGGCTGGCTTGGACATTTTTGGACGGACAATCGACGTAAGCATTTATTTATTTATTTATTTATTGAACGTCTTTGGACCATCCACAGGAGCCGTGGCTATTCTCAGTCCAGTGTCACAATCGCTGAACAGTAGTAAAAGTGGGTAAAAAGGTACATGCATTCACATACACACATAAAACGCATAATAAAAGAAAAAGAGAAACATCACAGCGCAAGTTACAAGTTTCACAAGCGGTAAATAAGCCTCACAGACGATAGGTAACTATACCGGAACAGCACCTACTCGTACTCTCTCTTGAGGTAAAGACGCAAGTTCTTTTTGAAGGCATCATGCTTGAGGGCAGTCAGCTCCACCGGCACACCGTTGTAAAGCTGCGGTGCCCGGTACGCAAACTGGCGTCTACCTGCCTCCGATCGGATGCGAGGTAGGTAAAAACTGTTGTCCTGTCGCGTTTGTCGTATACGTAAATTCGAGCTTTTGATAAAAAGTGAGGCAAGTGGAGCCGGTTCTCCCCACCGGAGTGTTCGGTGGACTAGAGAAAGTGTGTGGTAATCCGACAGCTGTGTAGATGTAAACCAGTCAGGACCTTTCCAAATATCCGAAATATGGTCAAATTTGCGTCTCCCAGCAACCACTCTCGCGCAAAAGTGAATAATCTTTTGGAGTTGCCTATGATTTTTGCCAGTACAATTACCGAACACAGTTATACAGTACCTAACGTGAGAAAGTACTAGACCGTGCACAACTGTTGGTATCACCCTCTGAGGGAGGTAATGCCGGATATGGCTGAGGGCAATCAACATTCCGAAGCACTTACGCACGACATGTGCCACGTGTTCGTCCCATGACAGAGTAGGGTCGAATATCACGCCGAGGTTTCTCACACTCCGTTCCGGGCGTAGAGTCTCGCCACGGAAACGCACCTCGATCGTGGGGACACTGCGGAGGTTCGGCCTGCTGCCAAATACCATTAGTTGGGTTTTCGAGGCATTCACCTTCAGGGCATTAGCCCTGAACCACACGTCCAAAGACGTGAGGGAGCTCTCCATGCGCCCTACCAGAGCCGCAATGTCATCCTTACCGCCGGACACAAGCACTTGCGTGTCATCGGCGTATTGGACGACATGGGCATCAGGCGCGCAGAGGCTCAGGTCATTGGCGAACACTGTGTACAACAATGGCCCGAGGGCAGACCCCTGGTACACCCCCACACTGTTTCGCAGCGGTCGCGAGAGGCACCTTCGACCAGAAACAGGGTCAGTGATGGAAACACTCTGTGTGTGGTTTGATAGGTAAGAGCGGAACCATTCAGCGTCAACTCCATGCTGCTCTAGTTTGGTCAATAGTTTGGAATGGTCGATAACGTCAAAACATTTGCTTAAATCTATCAGACAGAGTAGAGTAAGATCACCTCTGTCTGTCGCAGATAAAATATGGTCGGATACGCTGAGCAATGCAGTTTCTGTTGAGTGTCGTGGCCTAAAACCGTGTTGAGCTGAAGCTAAGAGATGATTGGATGACAAATAAGCATAGAGTTGACGCTGAACGACCTTCTCGACGATTTTGGACATGACGGGGACTAAGGAAATAGGTCTGAAGTTGGCTGGGTTGGAACAAGGACCGGATTTGTGAATAGGATGGATTATGGAGTGTTTCCACGCCTCTGGGAAAGCACAGTTTGACAGACAGGTATTCACGATGTTCAGCAACGGCACTCCAATCGCGTCGTCGCGGCGCTTACCATCCCTCGCCCTCGTGCGAAGCCCGCGGTTGTGAACTGCCGGCCGCTAAACCGGGTGAACGTAACGGAGCTGCATGCCAGCCTACATCGGGCAGACTGGCAGGCCGTTTACCGCGAAGGCCGCTGTTCCGACCAGTGGCAGCGCTTCTTGGACATTTTCTTACCTATTCTCGACCGTTTTGCACCGATGAAGAGAGTTACCATTCGAAACCCAGACGCCCCACATGTGACAGAGGCCACGCGTGAGTTGATGTGTCGGCGGCGCGCGGCCCGTGAGGCCCGGCGGGGCGGTGACAGCGGCAGCGCGGCTGAGTACCGATCGCTGAACCGCGCCGTGAAATCCGCCATACGCCGGGATGTGCGAGAAAACTTAGGGCAGCGCATAGTGGAACAGGGCCCGACTTCTGTGTACCGAAATATTAGGCAAGTCATCGGCAATAGCAAGGGCGTGCGTGCTACGCCGACAGCCAGCGCTGATGCGTTAAACGAGTATTTTGTCGGCGTCGGGCCTAACGTTGCTAGGGAGCTTGCCGAGTCGGGTGTGACCTCCGCAGACGATATATGCCGTGTCCCGCGTGTTGGCTCGTGCGGTTTTACTGTTGGTACCATCGATTACGACACACTCAGACGAACGATTGTCGGAATGCGTAACACTTCGGCCTGTGGCATGGATGGTTTATGCATACGCACCATCAAGCTATGTTTCATCAAGCATTGGACATTGGACGGACTTTGGACATACGTTTTCTGAAATTGACACCACTAGTCCGGACCAGTCCCGCGTCTCGTGTCGTGGCCGTGCCGTTGGCCGTCTCTCGTGTCGTGGCCGTGCCGTTGGCCGCGCGGCCGGTGTCGGGACGCGGCTGTGGACGCTATGGCACCGGTGCAGTGGTGCAGCGCTGTCTGTGGCCCACCAGCGCGGCGGGACGACGGCCCGAGTTCAGACCGGGCAGACACTATCGTCGCAGTGGAACGCGCTCGCGTGCCGTGTTCGCCTTCCAACTGAGGCGCTACTGCACGCGGAGGTGCGCTCGCGTGCGGTCGGAAATGGTTTTACGCCTGTGTCTGCTGTCGCAATTGGTGGGGGGTGTGAGGCGGCCGACCTGCCAGTGATGGCAGCGGCAGGGGATATCATGGCAACCAGTTGATACAAAGGCTCGATAATGCGCTGCCTGCCCCTGCTGACTCTTGGGATCATGAGAGGAGGTGTACGCAGTTCTTCAGGCTGCGTATTTTGACGATTGCTTGTATTCAAAGTTTATTCATATTTCATCTCCGTTCATCGCGGGCTGGTATACTATGACCCCTTGTCATGTTCCATTAACCAGCTCGGCTCAGTTGCACACTTTGTAGCTGGTGTAATGCGGTGGTCTTACTTTAGCCCGTGGATCCAGGACTGTCTAAATATGGCTGTGTAAATGTGGACGATGTCAGCTCACCCTGAAATCCAGATATGCGACAGCTAACGGTTATTGGGAGTCTCCACTCGAGGGGTGCATCGTGGTCCGTTGGTCCATCCGGTGGTCCGTTGGTCCATCCGGCGGTCCGGTGGTCCATTTGGTGGTCCGGTGACCAGTGCCGTCGACCGCCCAGCATCCCCCCCCCCTAATGGATCAGTCTGCCAGCCAGCCGGCCACCATAGGACGGCGTGCTCTGTGTCTGTACCATGCTCTGTCCCGGTGGTGGGACAGTCCCGGTGGTGGGACAGGTGTGCCCTGCTCTGTCCCGCTGGTGGGACAGTCCCGCTGGTGGGACAGGCTTACCCTGACCTGTCCCGGTGGTTGGACAGGTGTGCCCTGCTCTGTCCCGCTGGTGGGACAGGTGTGCCCTGCTCAGTCCCGCTGGTGGGACAGACGTACCCTGACCTGTCCCGGTGGCGGGACAGGCGTCACGGAGCCTCACCAGCCGGTGCCGGTCGGCCGAGCGTGCCACGCCCATGTGTCTCGGTGACAGGGACGTGACGGGGCGGCGACAGTCGCGTGGCCCGCTGTCCCCGGGCCGGCCGCCTCCCCTCCCGGCGCCAGGAAGCAGCCACTTCCGGTCGCAGTCGGCTGGAATGCCGCCGGACACCGGCGCGCCGTCACCTTTAAACCGCGGCGGCCGGCGGTGACTCACGGGTCGGCCAGGTACGGGTGACCTGCACGGCGCCGGGGGCGGGGGCGTCACCGCCGCCCTGGATCGGAGCGGGCGGGGCCGGCTGTGGGCCGTCTGAGAAGGTGCCCGCCTCTCTGCCGGCCAGAGCTGTCCACTGAACAGTGCCGCCGGCCGGGATTCAGCCAAGTAGCGCACCTGGCTGCGCGGCCCGACAGGTGCGGCGGCGCGGAGCGCGCGGGTACCGGCCGCGCGGCTACCCCGGGCCACTGTGGAGAGCAGCCCATCCTCGACTGGGCGCCGGATGGCCTCTGACTCTGCGTCACACTGAGATACTCCAGAAGGATGAACTGTTTCACCACCGTAATGAAGCGCTGGGTTTTCCATTGGTTGGATTGCTCTCCCGAGGAGCCTTCCGTGCAGTGATTTTTTCCCCGAGATTACAATCGCTGCCGGTGCTGGTTGGCGATTCCATGTGCGCGCCCTGCCCGGTGCGAGGGGGACTGCGTGTGTTCCGCCGCTGATTGCCGGCTGCTGAGCCAGCCACGGCGAGCTGCGGCGAGACGCGCGGCGGCGGCGCAGTTGGCTGAATCCGGCCGTGTCGGGGTGTGCTGAGGAGGCGACTGCTCACAGCCCGGCCGGCAGCCGGTGCAGAGGCGCGCCGTGCCGCTCCTGCCGGCGCCGGCCCGTGACCGGCGGTCCGGCGACGGGGGCGCGTCGGTGCCGACGGCAGCCGGGCGTCGGCTGTGGCCACAGAGAGTGCGGCTGCGGCTGTGATCCGTGCAGCGTCTCTGTTGTGAGGCACTGTGATCACGGTGGTGTTTTGATCGAGCTTACCTTCGTGCGGTGATAGTGTATAGTTGGTGGCCGGCGAGCGCAGCGGTTTGCAGTGCAGTGTCAGAATGTGTGGTCAAAGTGACCTTTCGGCGGCGGTCCAGTGACCTCAGTGACGGTCTGGTGACCTCACACTGTCGATCACCATCGGTGCGACGGCGGAATGGTGACCCCGGTGCGGTCTCCGCACACCACTGATCCATGGTGCAGCTGGGACAGAGTTATCCTCTCATGGAGCATAGGTGAGCACTAGCTTCTGTCGGTCACCTAGTTGAGTCGTCATCGAACTGTTGCCGGAAACGCCACACGTGTGGAGGCCTTTCAGACAGGTCGTTTGTAGTAAGCCGTAGTATTAGTGCGGGGATGTCTGACTAATTGAAATACAGTGTCGATTGTGTGCAGTGAGGACGTCAGTCCCAGTGCTGGTCTGGGTCGCGCTGCGGCCGGTGCCAGCCGGACCGCTCTGACCGATATATCCGGACCGGTCGGTTTGCGGGCACGTCCGCCCGCTCCGCGCCGGGCCGCTGCGGTGTGGCGCTCACCCGGCCGTGGCGGAGTGAGGGACGACCCACCGGCACTAACCGCCGAAAATGCTGCTGCAACTGTGCGCAAGTTAACCCTCGCATGTGTGCGGCGTTTGCCAGCTTCTAATGTGTAGGGGGGGGGGGGTCGGTTGGACCCCCCCTTGCCGTTTGGCCCCTGATCGAGCTAGAGCTTCGCGGAAAAAACGAGCGTGTTGCCCGTGACGAGAGGAAGCCGATGATACCCAATTTTAAGGTCCTAGGTCATTGGTTGACCTTCCAGGTCAGGTCAATGACCCAAAGTCGGGAAAATCGGGACCTGTTAGAAAGTCGTAAAGTGTGGCTGCTAAGGGGTTTTTCGGGGGTGCTGATCACGAATATCGTGTTAGTTTTGATCACAGATGATGTCTTGAAGCATTTAGACCAGGTCGGGTCAGGTCAGGTCAGGTCAACCAGTAGGCGTCGTGACGGGTATTCGTAGTACGTGTCAACCGCCTCTGACAGCTTCGTAACATGTTACGAAGTCACCAAAACTACTTCGTAAATGTTCAAATGGTTGCTAAATTCGAATTCAGCTCCAAAAACTAGCCTAGAAACATGTAAAACTCGAAAAAGTGACCCGAGGTCACCCGAGGTCACCAAAGGTCAATGACCTGACCTGACCTTCAGGTGACCTTGACACACACGGGAGTAACATCAAATCACATGTTTGAACGTTTGAAACCACGAAAAGCTTGCAAACACGCGGCTAGTGCGAGCCGACATACGCGAAATCGCGATTCCGGCCAAACATGGTCTCGGAAAAGAGGTCACAGGTCAAAGGTCATTTGGGTCAGGGTCATGAAATTTTCAGGGTAGGTGTAAAATTGATCAATGCGAAGGTACTGAAAGTTTCGTCGCGATCGGCCGCTTTTTACGCGAGCACAGATAACAGTAGTACTGGATTGGAAACAGAATATTGGCAGTTGCAGTAAGAGGCCGAATGTTTTTATGCGACGGCGCCAAAATGAGATTCTCGCGTGCTGCTGGGTGGATCATTTGTGTGTTGTGTATTGCAAGAAATCGTCATTTTTGTGTTTTGTCGTTTACATTTAAAATCGAAGCTACCAATGTTACTTTCATTTGCTTAAAAATTAAAGTATTTCACTTTTAATTTGATTATTTAGAGGGCACAATGCGTGGTGTTTTCTTTTGAAAACAAAGTGTGGTGCAAAGCCTCACATACGTATAGATACATCAACAATGGAGGAGGGGAATGAGCGGTAAAAAACTGCCGTTCTGGCTACAACCCAACGAACCAAGAGGAACAAAAGATTAAAACAGGAGATGTCTCACATGCCACCTATTCGCTTTTCTCACCGAAACATCTCTACGGGCTCAGTGAGTTGGCGCCATCATGGGTCGCCGTGACCGGGCTGAGTGAAATCAGGACTATTCCGCTGCATGTGTGAGCTGCATTTCAGAAAGGAAGATTTCGAAGATGATCGGTCATTTCTCACCGGCATGCAGAGACAGCGCCGTCGGCTCAAGAGCGGCGCAGTCCTGTCAGTATTGACCAGCGTGGATTACGCGATGCCCCCTGTGCACGAGCGGCCAGCAAAACTAGCCATGGCATCCGCACGCCACTCACACCAGAAGCAGGTTAGGAAGGACCAGACCGATGCGTTCTTCACGAATGACAATGTCAGCTATCAGGTGGCAACTACAACTGGCCGAGTGTCCGACAGTTCCTGGAGAATGAGGCGGTACTCCGAAGTCGAACTAAGGGCCTCAGATGGTGGTCACTGGTCACGTTTCAGCCCCGCCGACGCCTCCGCTCGAGTGGCACCATCAGCATCACAGCAGGAGCGACAGCAGGATGGTGCTCTTGTCATCCAGGAGCCAGTGGCCGCGGTGGCGAAATCCACTGAAATGGAGGACCTGGATGACAGCGCCAAGGCCTCCCTGGGACACAGCTCTGGCGCCTTGGCACGCTCGGCCACCAGGCGTAACGAGTACGGTGCCTCCGCCAGCCTGCTGATCTATCTTGGGGCTACGCCGCTAGAGTACGACTGGAGAAAGACGAAGAAGACATCGACCTCACCGTGAGGATCTGCCATATTTGGAGGCAGCTGCCGAAGACGGAAGCTAACAGGAACCAGCTGCTGGTCTGCGATCAACCAAGAAGTGACGAAGATAGTCGTAAACCGGGATGTCGAACTGACCGGAAGTCGTTTGCAATGATAGCCACTACGTCCTTAGGAGCCTCCTTCCAGAGATGTATGCGACGGTTTTCAATCTATTTGCTGGAAAATGTGGAAACATGGTAACTGATAAGTGAGGCAGACACTCAAGACAGTGCTGTCCATCGAAAGTCAGGAAGCAGACACCCCAGCGGCAATCGGGTTGCACCCCAGGTGCAACCCGATCGAGGAGCGACAAGAGGCCAAAGCTCAGCAGGGTCAAGAAGATGTAAGGCGGGGAAGTAAGATCGCTGATGAAATTGGGAGGGCAGGCGAGGCGAAGTGACACTTGAAGGGGTGTTTTGTGACGTTGGTTTGAATTGTGACGTTTGGATGGTTCGTTGTGACAGGACTGGTGTCGATTAGAATGTAAATAAAGAGATCAAACTCCCATGTACAAGAACTTTTTGTGGATGAGAGTGGGAAATCATTATAATCAAATCAGTGGCATACGTGCCCTCACCACGGTGAGGAAAGTGTAACCAGCAACGTTTAGTAAAATAAGTTGCCATTATGCAAAAAATGCATCAATAAACACGAGCACGGCTAGATAGCTTCTTATAAGTTTCATTCACATAAACCAATAATTTTTTGTTGCCTGTGAGAGGAGATATCAAAGTCTGGGCACGAAATATTCGGTTCTGTTTTCGGCCTCTTACTGCAGCCACCGGAATCCTGTTTCCAATCCAGTACTACTGTTATCTGTGACGCGAGTTATTCGCGAAAAACCATGGGGGGGTCCATCCGACCCCCCCCCTACACATGCGAGGGTTAAACGTGTAGATCACATATCATACAGTCTGCTTCCAGGATACGGTGACTGGATGCAGTGTTTGCAACGGTGGTTTAACTATTTGATTTCTACAAATGCTGTGCTGCATTGAGCTAACGTGCAGGTTAGGTGTTTCATCACGAACGTTGCCCATATTCACATCCCCAATTGACATTGTAGATAGACTAACTTTCAATATTTCAAACTGTTCAGTATGCCCTGAAGACCGCCTCTGCCAATTCCAGCCGGCGTTTCTCTCCATCTGCCGTCTCGAAGTTTGCTCGGCGCCCGCATCTCGACACACTCCGTCTCGTCAGAGCGACCTCCGTGACGAGACGCGAGAGTCTGGCCCCTGCAGTACAGCAGGGTCAGAACTGGGCGGCCCCAGCAGTACAGCGGGGTCAGAACTGGGCGGCCCCAGCAGTACAGCGGGGTCGGAACTTCGCGACTCGTGTCCAGTCGCGGCCGGCACTCGACGCGCGGTTCCGCGGCGCGTGTATCGCCCGCTTTTCTGCCGCTCCCGGCGCCTCGGCCGCTGCCGCTGAGGCCAGCACCGCTCCGTGCTCCCTCTGAGGCCAGCGCTGCTCCGGTGTTCCCTCTGAGGCCAGCGCCGCTCCGTGCTCCCTCTGAGGCCAGCGCCGCTCCGTGCTCCCTCTGAGGCCAGCGCCGCTCCGTGCTCCCTCTGAGGCCAGCGCCGCTCCGTGCTCCCTCTGAGACCAGCGCCGCTCTGGTGCTCCCTCAGCTCTGAGGGAGCGGGAGCCCGCGGGGTCGACCCGCCGTGAGGGGTGCTGGTCTCTGTGACAGACACATTGAACGGGCTGGGCATGATGAGCCCAGCAGACCGCCTGTTCGTCGAGGGTTATCAGCATCTCAGATGCTGTGTCTTCGAACTTTGTGCATACAGGAGATGTTTGTTAACTAGGCAGTTGCTATGCCAGCAGCCTGAGATTGGTGCGCCAGCTCCTGCTGTTTCTGGTAGTCGTAGGTGGAATATTTCAGGCATTCGTTCGTGTGGGACTGCTTCCGTTGAGCTGCTCAGCTGCCTTTTGTATTCGGTGCCCCGGCGACGGTTACAAGTTGGACAGACTCTGAGGATGAAAACTTTGTCGTGTCTGGGTGTGGCGCAGCCGTGCCGAGCTGGCCGGCTGCCGACACGCTATTTCCGCGACGGCGGAGTTATTTCGGCTCCGCTAGGACATCGCCACCCTATTTCTGATTGAGTGTCGCCTCTGCTCAGCCATGCAGGTCTAAAGAGCCGTCAGAGAAAATTGGAGGTCCATTGAGACGCGCGCAGTGCTCGGAGGGAGGCGGTCGTCTGGGAGGCTCTGGCGGCGGAGTGAGCCGGGGATTCCTGTGTCCGCCGTCGCTCTGATTTTGGCCACGGACGTGTAGAGGTCGCACCGTGACTTACCCGCACGCGACTGAACTGTGACAACTGAGGAACTCGTGCAGGACGCGTTTACCACAAACACTCAGTTACTTACCTCTGTATTTATTGTTGACCAGTGCGAGTGTTTTTATTTGTGCGCCGGCGCCTTCGCGGGCGGCTCATCTCGTGGTTCATTTTGGTGCGACTGTACTGAGATCACTGCTGCTGATTTCAGTGCTCGCCCTCCTCACCGCACGCCGATTTCCAGCGCCGACTTATATCTGGCTGTGTGTTTTCAGACCGTGTGCGGGATGCCGACGTTTGAGCCGGAGGACAGTCCGTCGGCCGGAGCTCGCACCATACAGCAGAGGATCGAACAGGTCAGTCGGTCACCCCCACCGGTCCGACCGACCGGGGACGGGGTCACCGGTCACCACGGGGCGATCGGTGCGTCTCACTGCCACTCATCCACCGGTGGTGTCGGTGTGCCAGTGTCACCGTTGCCACCACTCGACGTTAGTGTCGATGTAGATTGCCCTCCTGAGTCCACAGACGCGGCCGGGCGCTGCCACCTTACCTGTGTGTCACCTGGCGCTGGCCGGCTGCCTCAGTAGCGGAAATGACACCACCGAGGAATAAGTCCGACAGTGGCTGAAGAATGCAGGGATTGCGGGAAACCCAGAGCGCTGACTCGCCGTGCTGGTGTTTTGCGATCTAACTATTCTAATACGGAGGCCGTGCCCTCGCTTTGGTGGATGTGATCTGGACGACTCACAGTCGCCGCAACGCTGGGGGTCGAGAGGGACATGTTTCAGTGGACTGGTCCTTCCACAGTTGTCCGCTGCAGCGACGGGACTCGGAGGCTCTGAGTCGGTCACGCGCCTCGGCTGATCGGGACACCGCCGGCGGTCCCCATGACATTGAGACAGCCTCGGCGCTGCGCTGTTCGATTTGCTGGTGTTGGTCTGCGGACGGGCGATGTGTCGGCGCTCAGTGGACGCACGGGCGGTGTGTTCGCGCTCAGCGGACGGACGGGCGGTGTGTCGCCGCTCAGTATTGTATTACACATCATGAAGCACTTCCACACAGTTATGTGGCTATTCCGTACCCCGTTGTCAATATGATTAAACGAATGATCATTGTGGTCATCACAAGCACGCACACGAGCACACACAATCACACACACGCATACATGCACGCTTTGCAGTCATACACAGGTAAGATATGCAAGCTCAAATGACCAGCCAGATTCTCTACATTTCTAGCCTATTCCACTCCGTTGCCTCCCTAGCAGATGTAGCCGCAGCTCCTTTTTAAACTGGGCTCCTGTTCGACATCGTATCGCGGCTGGCAAATCGTTGTATGCGACTACAATATGGTGCAGGAAGCGGCGCCTGCCCGACTCGGACCGAATCGCCGGCGTGATAAGGTGGTCGGCGTTACGGGTGATACGCTGGTGGACGTCCCTGCGTGTGACCAGGCCACCAGCAATACATTCGGGTTGCGATGACAGCAGCATCCGTTTCAGCAGGGCGAGGCCGTGATAGAGGTACATGTTCTCGGCAGTAAGCCAGTCCAGTTGATAAAGTACATCGCTAATGTGCGCAGATTTCCTCCGTCCCGATAAAACGCGTGCGGCAAAGTTTAACACTTTTTGACGGAAGTAGACGGAAGGTCTCTGGATGCCGGGCTCGGGCCGACCGCCGTTCTGTTTACGGTCTGTGTCGGATCTACGACCGTCGGCTGCGGCCGTTGGGTGCTTTTTATAGAAGAACGCCGGCCATCAATTCCATTTCATGGAGCGTGCTGCAGTTCAATTCCAGATCGGCCCGTCGCGCGGCATGGCTCTATCATGCCATGTGGAAGACATTCGTTGCATCAATGCCAGCATTGTTCTTGAATTTATCTCGGGAAATACGTTTAATCGTTTGAATTAAAATGGTGATATTTTAGGCAGAATGCTTGATTTAGGCGAAATTTTAAGTTCTCGGCCACTGCTGTCGCGCTATTGGGTATTGTTCCGCTATTCACAACTCACTGTTGATTCCTTAAAAGCCCTCTCGTACCCTTAAAACTTTTACTAATTTAAGTTCGCCTTTGCCCTGCCTCCTCCGTGAATGACCGCGTCGTTTCATTTCTGCGTTGTTTCTCAGCTTCAGTCGTTGAGCTCATTGCCCTTGAGGTGGCAGTGAGTCAGTGCTGTTTTTAGCCTGGTAAACAAGTGGCAATCCACTTAGTCAGGTGCGGATAGGCCGGACGCTGTCTGCCCTGTCCGTCCGCACACCACGTCACTCGGTCTGACCGGGGGTCAGATGGGGCTCAGATCAGTGGGCGTCCGTGCCGGCGGGCGGCCTGGTTCAGCGCGGCGCCCAGCCCGAGCTCAGCACCGGTACGTGTAGTACCGGCCAGCGCGGACCGAGCCGTCACTCGGTGGCAGCGGCAGGTGTATTGTGAGTGTGTGTCGGTCGGTCACGTCAGTAGCTGGGCGCCGCGCGGGGTCCGCACCAGACGTCACCAGGGGCGCCGCGCGGGGTCCGCACCAGACGTCACCAGGGGCGCCGCGCGGGGTCCGCACCAGACGTCACCGCGGGCGCCGCGCGGGGTCCGACCGGCGCACAGCGCCACAATGGGCGCCGTGACGGCGCGCGGACGGGCGTGACGGCTCGGACGGCTGCGTGGCGACCTGCTCCGTCCGTCCCCGGGGACCGTCTTGTCGGACTGGAAGGCATTGGGCAATGGGCATGGCTGGTCCGCCGCTCGCACGAACAGTCGCCTTCACGCTTTGGCGGGTCGTTCATCCACCAACGAGCCGATGTTTCACTCGCCAGCTCAGGTGGAAATTATGGACACAGTGATTCATGGATCTGATCTTTCCTATGAGCTCCTTTGTTTTTCGTCGCTGGTTTGAGTGGAGACGCCTGATGTATCCTTTTTGTGTGTTCCGCTGTGTCTGGCCGTCCACTGCACTGCTCGGTCCACATTGGCCCAAATTGGCCGGCGATAGCGGCGGCCCGGCGCGCTCCAAAGTGCCGCCGCCGACGAGCCCGTCGATTTCCCCGGTGGCCGCCGCGGCCGAGCGGACCGTGTGCCGGCCCGACAGCCGGGCTGTCTGATGACTGGGCTCTGGTGTCTGCTGTCGACCTGCCCGCCGCCGGCGCTGGCGGCGGGGCGGTGTAGTTTCTGTAACCCGTCCGTTCGGCCCCGGTGGTCGGCGGTGAGTGGCCAGCTGGTCTTGTTAGGTGTCGGCAGTCTGTCTGCCGTCTGTCTGCTGTCTGTCGGGCCGTCTGCCCGTCTGTCTGCCGTCTGTCTGCCGTCTGTCCGTCTGTCGGCAGTCTGTCGGTAGTCTCAGCCGCCCGTCTCCTGTCTGTCGGCGCGTCTGTTGGTCGTTGTGCGCGTGGGTCCAGCTGTCTGTCAGGTTAGTCAGTTTGTCTGCGTCTTCTGATGCTCTCCCGCCTCCGCAGCTACATGTGGTCGCCGGCTGACGGGGTATGGGTCTCGGCGCAGTCTGACCTCTCCCGACACCTGTATGTGGCCGCCCCTGTGTCTGTTTGACATTCCGCGGTGGGCCGACCGGCGGCCGCCTGCAATATCCGCCGTTTCTCTGTCTCCATAAAGCCTTCGGTCCGCCGCCGCCCGGCCGGCCATTGACATTCGGCGCGCTCAGTGTGGTCCGTGGTTGGGCGGCCTCTGAGGAGCCCGAGTAGCGCTCATCCGGTCGTTTGACGGCTTCCCACTCCCTGAATGGTTTGTCACAGCGGGCTTCTGCCCGTTTCATCTCGTCGTTTGCCGCTCCTTTTCCCGAATTCCCAGTTATTTGCCAGTCTATTCATCCGTTTTCCGGCACTCTGCGACCTCCAGCTCCCCGTATGGCTGGCCATTTAGCGGACTCCCCGTGTAGCCTGTCATTTGGCGGTTTCGCCCGCTGAAAGCCGGGTCATTTGGCGTGCCTGCCGTGCCCAGCGCGGCCGGCGGACGATGTGTCGTGTCACGGGGCGTCCCAGTGCCGCCGCCGCCGCGGTCGATGGCGGACTGTGCGTGAGAGCGCCGCCGGGCACGCCCTGTCGGTGCCGGGCCCGCACCTGCCCGTCGTGCGCGCGCCGCGCCGGCCGACGACCGACGGGCGGCGGGCGGCGCGCCGACGGCAGTGTGGCGGACGGTGCCGACGGGAGGCCGCGCGCGGCCGGCTCGGGCGCGGCGGTGTGGTCGGTGGTGCGTGGTTCCCTGTGTGGCGCTGAGTCGCGGCGGGCCGGCTCAGCTGTGTGGTTGGTGAGGTGGTGAGGCCCGCGGTGGAGGCGGCTGGCTGGTCAGCGGACACGGCAGCTGACGCGCCGCTAAGTGACGGCCCTGTGGCGGCGCGGCGTGGCCGCCGGGCGCAGCCGACCAAATCGGACACCGCCGGTGTCCTGAACCAGCCGGCCACCCAACGATACAAGCTCCAGCGAGTGCATACAGCGGTGTGCGGCCCATTTGTGTGATACCCAGCTCTCCCAGCTCCTCCGTTAGGCTGAGCGGTGCTGGCTGATCAGGCCGGTTACGAGCGGCGCCCGACCGAGCTCGGCGAACGGTGGCGCCCGGTGATTGTGAGCCGCAGACAGCCGCCGTGTCGCTGACTCGTTACCGTCGGCCGGCGGTGGTGGGCGGCGGCCCGCGGCGGCCCGCGGCGCTCCGGCCGTGTCAGTGTGTGTCGGATGTGATGCGCCCGCGGCGGCCCGTGCCCAGCCCCACCGCGCGACACCTGGTGAGTTGACCGCCGAGAGCAGCACCTCTCCGGGAACGGTCCGCGGACGGTCCAGAGATTCCTCCGGTGCTGGGTCGGAGATCCCCTCAGCGGCGCACCGTCCCTTTCCTCTGACCGTGTCACATTCCGCCGACAGTGGCTTTTGAAGTTCTTTTGATTGTGAATCACTGCGACTCGGTATGTCAGTTATGCCCCTCGGCAGCTTCTCCAGGAATGTGCTCTGTTCCTGGATTTCTGGGAAGGTAAATGCTTCATATAATCCACATGGTGAAACCACATCAGTCACATTCCCACCACGCTGGCTGTCTCGTGCTTGGTCTGAGGCTAGGCACCGTATTTCTTACTCTTGGTTCTCCAATACTGACTCACAAACCCACCTGCCCACCGTGCTATCTGGGGACGCCGGGCTGCCCACCGTGCTAACTGGGAGATAGGGACAGCAGGCTGCTCACCGTGCTAACTGGGGACGCCGGGCTGCTCACCGTGCTAACTGGGGACGCCGGGCTGTTCACCGTGCTAACTGGGAACGCCGGGCTGCTCAGGGCACTAACTGGGAGATAGGGACAGCAGGCTGCTCAGTGCTCACCGTGCTAACTGGGGACGCCGGGCTGCCCACCGTGCTAACTAGGGACGCCGGGCTGT